CGGCACTGGTCATTCACATACGCATTAAGTTTCAGTTCGAGAAAGGTGTAGTGGAAAGTGCGAGATTTTAATTTAAAGTTGAAAATGTCTTCTCAAAGATACACAAAAGCCCTGCTATCTGGTGCCACCGCTTTTAGAAGTGTTGCTCGTCAGCAGGTATGCAAACAACGATATTTTTTTGTATTATTTGTTTTTTGTTTCTTTTTTTGCTTTATTCACTAGGACATGTACTTTGAGGGTAAGAGAGGAAGGGATTTACCTTGGGGTACTCCTCGAGCTGAGATCACTTGCTTGTCCCAAGTCTCTCTCTCTCTCTCTCTCTCTCTCTCTCTCTCTCTCTCTCTCTCTCTCTCTCTCTCTCTCTCTCTCTCTCTCTCTCTCTCTCTCTCTCTCTCTCTCTCAGTTCTCTTTTTCATTATCATTATCTTTATAATTACCACCTTCTTCTATATCTTTCTTGCATTTATTTGTCTTCCTTCATCTTTCCTCTTCATTAGGGTTTCCTTTCGCTCGCTCTCTCGCGCGCTCAACCGGTCTGCCGTTCATTGATTTAGTCACGTAGGCACGCGTGCACATGGCATGCACATCCGACCATGCGCGCCTGCGCTCGCTCGATTGCACACGCACACGCACCCATACATACACCATACATACATACATACATACACATATATGCACACATATATATTATATATACACATATATACACACACATATATACACATATACACATATATATACACACACACACATATATACACATATATATACACACATATACACATATATATACACATATATACACATATATACACACACATATATATATACACATATATACACATATACACATACACATATATACACACACATACATACATATATACACACACACATACATACATACACACACACACACACACACACACACACACACACACACACACACACACACACACACACAGCCCACAACCGCCACCCACAAACTCACCGGTTAGCCAACACGCACGTAATCAGAGATCGACTTAGGATGAGGCCGAAGTCAAAGCCATCAATGAATTCAGACATAGATTAAGGGATCAATAGTGTTGCCAAGGTCGGTGCGTGAATAACCATTTTATCGCACAGATGTTGGGGGTTTCCAGGAGAAAGGTGGGGGGGGGGGGGAGCGGCGCACCAATAGCTAGCACCTGCCCAGATCAGTTGTGTGAAATATTAGTGTTTCATTGTATTTGAAAGCTGAATTTTATTTATTATTATTTTTTTTTAAGAATAGTTATGTTTATGGAAGGAACTGTCCTTTCAATTTAAAGAATACTTGTAATATTTATCCTTCTTGTCAACCAAAAATTAATAAAAAAAAAAAAAATCCTATCTGACATAAGCTATATCGGTTGGTAACCCTACTTTGCAATACAACATACATTAACTAGATCTATTTCCTTTGCAGGTGCGACACAACAGCCAGGTTTGCATGCACAGCCGCAGCTTGAGCTTGGCCGCAGCAGCTAGGAATCAGCTGGCCGTCTTGGAAGCTCCTCTTCCCGGTAAGTCAAAACCTGTACATTACTTCTCTCTGTCAGATATTTACGTTTGGCACCTTTATCCTTGTTTATTTCTCCCTGTTCTGTCATGTTCTTTCATGTTCGGCCTTTTATTCCTAATATAGATAGTAAAGTTGAAATATTTACCAACAATTATATCCTAATATAGATAGTAAAGTTGAAATATTTACAAACAATTATATCCTAATATCGGCCTAATATAGATAAAGTTGAATATTTACAAACATTTATATCCTAATATAGATAATAGATAAAATTGAAATATTTACAAACAATTATATCCTAATATAGATAGTAAAATTGAAATATTTACAAAACATATTTATAGCCATTCATTATTTTTATTACTGGTATATAGAAATGAATGTAAAGCCAAACCGATGAAAAAGCCAACGGAGAAACAGCCATGTATCTAAAACGTTTTCTCTCCTCCCACCCCCCTTTCCCATGCAGGCACCGGGGTGGTAGCAGCTGTCACGGGAGACAAGTCACTGCGAATCAAGTTCAGTGACGGCAGTGCCAGGGAGGTGCCGTACACGTGGCTGCGAGACAACTGCCGGTGCCACGCTTGCTCTGGCACTCTCGCCTCGGGCAACTTGCACTCCGAAGTTTACCCCGAGATCATCCAGGTGGGAGGATTTGGACGTCTCGTGTTTATCGTATTTTTCGGATTTTTATTCACTCAAGAGGAGGATGGATTGGGTTATTCAGTACTGTGTTTGCGTTAAGTTATAAAAAAAAATACGATAAGAATGATGATGATAAGGATAATATTAATAAGAGTAATAATGATAATAATAAGAGTAATAATGATATAGAGTAATAATAATAATAATAATAATGATAATAATAAATGAAATAATGAGCTAAATAAGAGTAATAATAAAAAAAGTAATAATGATAAGAAGAAAAATATAATAATCAGATTATGATAA